CTGAGCTTTTATTACATCCCCATTTCACATTAAAAGTTCGTTAAATTCCAGCTCCTGACTTCGAAACTGGTTAGTCGATTGGGATAGACCCTACCTTGTAATAAATAGGTAATTAATTCAATATATATTTATAATAAACCAAGGTTAGTCGCGAAGGTGTAACGAGTAGCGAGGGTCGAGCTTCCGCGTATGCAAAGTGCGCCAGGCGGTGCGGCGGTGCGGCGGGTGACAGGCGGCAAACCTGTTGCTAATAGTATTCCTTCACACGTACCACTTTGTGTTATAACATCTATGTATACTATGTACAACTCCATACAAACTAACATCGTGCCCGCGACTTCAACCGCATGGTAAGTGTAAATGTATCGTGTAATAAATATATATGAATAGAAAACAAAAAGAAGCTAGTTATGTTTTGACGATTTTTTTGTTTATTTAATTGAACACGTCGGTTTGTCACGCTTGATGTTGTCCCGGAGAAAAACCGACACAAAAAGTAATCGGATCTCTGGAAATAGCCACATAATAAGTTTAATTCATTAGGTTTTCTTGTAAATAACTCGGTAACTTGAACGCAGCATATTTATGCTCTATATTAGTTAATTTGTGTTAAACAGTAAAATGCATGTTACTTTGTTTAACGACCTAGGAAAAACTAGCTAAATTATTTTGGTTATGTTTAATGTTTGTATCCAATTTATCTTCAAAGCGTTTGTGTACATAAAAATTATAAATTAGTGAGAAGATACATTTTGATAACTCTGCTACCAAACTTCGAGACTCGGCAGTCGGCGTTCGAGTCCTTGTCCTTTCTAACACACATACATAATAATTAATTAAATTGTGCAATCCCTGATAAGTTTAACGTAATTGTGTTGAACTAAAACATTGTACGAATTCAAAACTTGTGTTGCATACAGCTGAGCCGTGTCGTTTTCCTTGAAGCGATTTCGGAGCACGTGTGTGAATTGACTCGTTAAAGCCTCCTCTGCGCGCTAGCAACGCGCTGCGTGCTGTTATGTTTCTTTTATATATTCCGAAACAGAACGCTACTGTTTTATCTAATAACAGTACTGCACTGTCTCCAGCTCCCCCTCCTTGTGATGCCCTCATATCGTATCTACAATGCAATTACGTGTGTATTTTCGAGTTTGCAGCTCGCAGCGAAAACAAGCAAGTGTTACAGCATTTCATGGAAGGGCATAGCAAGGCACGATGCAACATGTTGCTAACGAAGTCGGGTTGCATTTTATATTATAATGTACATGTAGATAGATTTACATACATACTCGTTGGAAACAAATATGTTTTTGCAACAGTAATCTACAGTCCGACAGGTCCGCTGTTGTCGCGGTTTGATCTATCAGAAAATATGGAAATTCTACGTAGGCATATATTTTGACGTTTTATCTAGAACTAACCACTGGTAGGTACAACTTTGTAAACTTTGGAAGCTTTGTTCGTTTTTGCCTTTATCGTAAGAGCAGAGGTCATATAAAGATTTCAACGATAGTTGGATAAAT